TATGGCGAGTCATTATGAAGAATGAGGCCAAAAACTGATGCTCGGCAGGATCTCATGGAGCGTTTCTGGTCCAATTCGATATTCAAGTACCTGCGAGTAGAGCCGGAAGACCACCACTTCCTGCTCACTGAACCAGTATGCCGTCCTTTGAAAACTCAGGAAACGCATATGCTGACTGCTGCCTAGCCATTGAACCCCCCAGAGAACCGCGAAGCCACCGCCGAGATCATGTTCGAGTCCTTCAACGTCGCCGGTCTCTACATTGCCGTGCAAGCTGTGCTTGCATTGGCCGCGTCATGGACAAGCTCCAAGGTGCAGGACAGATCCCTCACGGGTACCGTCATCGACTCCGGTGCTGGTGTTACACACGTTATCCCAGTTGCTGAAGGTTACGTCATTGGCTCCTCAATCAAGAGTGTCCCCATTGCCGGTCGAGACATTACCAACTTTGTCCAATCGCTCCTCCGAGAACGTGGCGAGCCTGACTCGTCCCTTCAGACCGCTGAACGCATCAAAGAGGAATTCTGTTACGTCTGCCCAGATATCGTGAAGGAGTTTGCACGCTTCGACCGCGAATCAGACGACCGCTTCAAGAAGTACACGGTCAACTACCCCAATGGCAGGACCGCCTCCGTAGACGTCGGTTACGAGCGCTTCCTTGCACCTGAAATCTTCTTCAACCCCGAGATCTACTCCTCCGATTTCTTGACCCCGCTACCCACCATTGTCGATACCGTCATTCAGTCCTCACCCATCGATGTACGTAGGGGACTGTACAAGAACATTGTTCTGTCTGGTGGTTCAACACTCTACAAAGACTTTGGTCGCCGCTTGCAGCGTGACATTAGACACATGGTTGATGCCAGGATCAAGGCCTCTGAAGCACGGAGTGGAGGTGCAAAGAGTGGTGGTTTGGATGTACAGGTCATTACTCACAAGAGACAAAGACACGGTCCTTGGTTCGGAGGTAGTTTGCTCGGACAGACGCCCGAGTTCAAGAGCTATTGCCATACCAAGGCGGAGTACGATGAAATCGGCCCCAGTATTGTCAGACGGTTCGCCCTGCTCGGTGGACCAGGAAGCTCGTAACTGGCCAAACACGAGAATACTAGGCAAGCGTATATGTGAGAAGAATTTACTGAGCGAGCATAAAAGAAGTGTAAAGCTGTCGAGAATCCCAGGATTGACATCACAACATAAAATCCATGTGACTGTGCAAACGTGATGTATATGCCAAAACGCGAGTGTAGTTTGACAGAAGGTTTAACCAAGCAAAGGCAGTGATGACTTTTTACGTTTGTATGCTGATGTATGCGCCGGCTAGAGAAATACTGTGTCTGTCCGTATGTCCCCCAAAACGCCAGAGATATGCAGATTAACTACTCCATCGTCACCTCACTACCCTGTGCCCCATTAGTTTCTCCAACTGATCCCATCGTCTTCCTAGTCAGCACAGCAACACCCTCTACATGCCCTGTCTGAGGGAAGAAGTCGAAGCCCCTCAGGCTGTCAATCTCATAGCATCCCTCTCCCTTTCCAAACCCACCATCTACGCCCTTCATGCCGCCAACCAAAACACCAACATCCCTGGCTTGCGTATGCACATTACAACTCACGTAAACGATTCTCGCGGGGCCATATTGCACCAACTGTCGCAGAAAAGATTCATCGCAGCCTTTTCGTGGGGGATCAATCATAACGACCGTTTCATCAGCAGGAGTCTCGATCGAAGCGAAGAGGCGTGCAGCATCTGCAGCGATGAAACGTGCGGAGCTTTCAGGTAGATCATTCAGACGTGCATTGGTTGTTGCGGACTCAATGCTCGACGAGGAAATATCGATGCCCAGTGATGTTTTGAACTGGCTCGATAACGTAATTGTAAAGAGACCCGAGCCAGAGTATGCGTCGATGAGGTGGCTGATTTTGTGATTTGGGGAAGAAGGTAAGATGTGCTCGCGAATGTACTGGGTGAAGACGGGGAGGATGCTGTTATTGTTTTGGAAGAAAGAGCCCGCTGGGTTGACGAATTGGAAGTCGTCGACGTATTCGGTGGATTTTGCATTGGAGTCTGTTATGCATATCTTGCGGTGGATGTAGTCGCCTCGGTCTTCGATGACCGCATCTGGGTCTTCTTCCTTAGTGGCATCGTATTCGGATTTGGGTATCCGGGTGGTGCTTTCACGGAGGAGGATAGTGGCGCCTTTGTTGTACTTGTCAATGGTATCGGCGACGCGTTTGCGCTCGCGCTTGTTGCCTGCGCGCACGGCGTCGGTTCCGATCGGGCAATCTTCTATGTCGATGGTGGTTCTGGTCCCCTTTTTCATGAAGCCAATTGGCGGTACTTCTTTGAATGTACGTCTGATGCCATTTCGGCCGTCGCTTCGACGAGCATCCGGTGGACCGTCAAAGTGCGGAGTGAGCTTCGTCCTGTATCCGTATTGCAAAGGCGATCCAATAGTATCGCCGATAGTCGGAACAAGCTCGGGCGGTAGGTTGGAAAAGTTTTTGTAGGCTTTCTGAACGATGGACTTTTTGTGTTCCAATTGGAAATCGTAGGGCAGCATCTGAAATTGACAACCCGAGCAACTGGAAAAGTAGGGGCACTTTACTAGAGACGAGTCGCGGTGATTTGAGGGCGTAACAACATTGACAAAATCGGCCATGGAGTATTTTTCCTTCTCGAAATGCCTGTGCGGACGTGCGGTGACAACATCTCCAGGCGCACTGAAAGGTACAACAAAGACTTGATCTGAATCTGAACCTTGCTGAAATCCAAGACCATCTCCGGTAGATGATATTTCCCTGATCTCGACAGTAATTTCTTTGAATTTTTCGGGTAGCTGCGTTGATGTCTCTTTCCCTTCTCTTTCTAGCTTGAATTTTTTTATGAGGGCAGTGACATCCTCCAACAAGACCTCCTCGTTGGTACCGTTTGTTTTTAGTATCTTGCTTTGCTCGGCATGACCATTTTTCATTCGTTTGTTCTTGAACCTGTAATTTCCTCGTGAACCTTCCTCGCTACGCAGAGGCGTCTCGGCGTGTCTTTTCGCGCCATTACTCTCTATGGGAGCAACATTATCTGCGGAAGAGGCCATACTGCGCTTGGCAATCTGGGAATACCGGCTACTGCTCAGCAGAGTCCGAAGTGGTCGACTGAAAATTCGGGAGTACATGCACCAAGTCTCACAGTCGAGAAAAGTTATGTTAGTCACTGAGTTGGGAAGAGGTGTGATTGGCTACAGCATTTACTGCCCATGCCGCTTAGTCACTGTGAACTTTCCGAACTTCACTTTCAAGCACCACCAAGCGCGCAGACTACCCGCTATTACAGCCTCTCCACGCTCAATTGGCCCTCGCGACGAGGCTCAAGGGCAACAATGAGCATCTGCCGCCCCGCAAGATGTCTTTTTACTAAGGCCGCCTCAACGACCCTCCCTAAACCACCTCCGCAACGCACTTTCCATTCCTCCGCATCTCGGCAAGCCCGCAAGAAACGACCGCATTACCCGTCAATAAAGGCAGACGAACTCAAGCTCCTCAACCAGGCCGCCGAGGCCGAGTATCCGAAATACGACACCTCGGAAATAACGCTTCTCGAGAAAAAATATACACCCTCGCAAATCGCCGCCATCAAAGCCGCAGAAACTACGATCGATGCCCGAGATGTCCTTACGCAGGGTCAGCGAAGAACCGATTTTTGGCGGCTCAACTACGAAGACGATCTTGCGGAAGTTGATCCAGTCACCGACCGGCCTGAGAAGCTGACCGGAGACGACATCGAGGGGCCAAAGACATTCCGAATCGCCAACGAAGTGGAACGAGATGAGAATATTTCCCGTATCGCATCGGAGAACCTTGCAAAGATGTACCCAGACGGTATACCAGAGGACGACCCGGGCCTGCAAAATGCCATGGATGCGGCCATTACGCAGGCTGCCCTCGACCCGCGCGCAACATATACATCGAAAAACCCCGCCGCACTTCAGGCGCTCGGTGACGAACGTCACTCTGTAATCGCACCCGATCTACCGAGGGTAGAAAACCGCATGGCACGTCAAACCCGTCGACTCTCCACCGAAGAAGAGGAGGATCCACGGCAGAAGCGTCTTTTGCAATACTTGGGTTGGGACAAGCAAAAATTGCGCAGCATCAGAGTCAAGACACTTGTTGTTCACGGTGTTACGAACCAAACGCGCATGGGCAAGATTAGGAGTTTATACTACCTTACCATTGCGGGGAACCAAGACGGCCTACTAGGTGTGGGAGAAGGCAAGTCCGTCGAACCTGAAGAAGGCAGGAAACAAAGTATCATGAGTGCGATCAGGAACATGAGGCCTGTCCCACGGTACGAGAACAGGACAACATTTGGAGATTTGGAGAAGAAGGTTGGCGCGACAAAGGTGCAGCTTTTTTCAAGACCACCCGGTAAGTCATCGTCTTTTGCTATCGTTTCTATATTTCCGAGCAGTTTGCTAATGACGCAATAATTAGGCTTCGGTCTCCGCGTTCAACATCTCATCTTCGAGCTCGCCCGCGCGGCCGGACTCCAAGACCTCTCTGCCAAAACCCCCCGCTCAAGAAACAAAATGAACGTCATCAAGGCTACCTGGGAAGCTCTCACCAGCCAGAAGCTGCCCGACGAGATTGCCAGAGCTCGCGGCAAGAAGCTAGTCGATGTACGTAAGGTGTACTATGGAGGTTCCATACACTAGCCGGACACCATGTATGAATATTTTGATGTAAAGAAGGGGAGAAGTCATGGGGATACATGTACCATAACGCATATGCATTGGGTGGTCTGAATGCGCATATAAGCGTTTTTTTGTAGAAGAAAACTCGTGTATATTATACCATTCCACCTTCTTTCAACCCCTCACTCCCATATCTCTATATCCTTGCAGTCCTCTTCCAATTCATCTCTACCTGGGGTATCATATTCTCCTTCCATCCTCCTCCTCATCCTCCTCATCCCATCCTGTCCAACTTTTTCCTTTCCTTCCTCACATCTCATCAACCCCACCCTCCTCCCCAACCCCACCATCCCCTCCATCCGTCTCAATCTGCTGATTCAAAACAATACTATACACACTCGCCTTCAACAACGTAAATACGAGCGACGTCTTACGTTCGAGACCGCGCAGCCCGTCAAGGATTACGGCGCTGGGGTTGTTGGAGAGGGTGAGGAGGAGGGAGGACATCTGTTCGTTTTTTTGCAGCGTTAGCTTTCTGTTATGTGGATTGGAGGGAGGGGTAGGGAAGTGGGATGGGGGAACAGGGGGATAAAGGGAAGGCATACGGTATTCAAGTTCTCGAGTAATCGAACGTATTCATCTAGGACTTCTTGTTCGAGTGGTGTGAGTGTTTCTTCGTCGTCGGCGTAGTTTGCGTCTTGGGGGTCGAGTGATGCCATTGTTTTTCTTTTGTTTAAGGTAAATAGGTGTGTGTTTGGTGGTTTTTTTAAACTTTTGTTTCGTTTTTCTCGGGAGTGTCCGTGGAAGGGTCTGGTGTTTGTGATGGGCAAGGGGGGTTGCGCGTGTATGCCCTGGTGGTGGGGTCGGCGTGGGTGCGATGGTTGGATTGCTTAGAGGAAGCTATGCTTTGGGATAATCGTGTATGTGTGGAGGCTTCTTCTTTTTACCTTGAAGCTTCGTTTCTTCCTAGGAGAGTGTGTGGGTTTCGGTGCAAACTACCCTGGTTAAATCTAAATCCTCGTCGCGTTGGGTATCTGCGAATCGATTGTCGCGTCTTCCCCGCAAACTCCGAAGTGGTCCATGCACACATACCTTTCATCATACGTAGAACATAGTACTATTCGTCTTAAAAGGTCACAACACAATTTGCGTTCATATTAAGCAGAAAAAATACGTCTTGTGATTAATTCCTCTCTTCCTAACATCACAAACCCAGTCAATATCGTCCTGCAGCCCGTTGTCCAAGCTGCCTACTGTTGTACTTCATGTCCCTCGACAACCATACCCCTAAAACACAAAACAAACAACGCCGAAAAGATTTTGGAGGCGGAAAAATGCTGGCTGAAAAAAGTTGAGAAGAAATATGCTCGAACGACAGAAAAGAAGTAAGAACCCTGAAACGCCAATGACATGAGAGACACTCATTTTTCTATCATACGTCGAAAGCAAAACGAGCAGAGTCGAGAAGAGTATCGGATACAAATGGCCTCCCTAAGAAGACTCCGTCTGGAGTGTGCAAATCACCACTTGTCCTATCGATGCGAGTTGTTTTGCGAGTAATCAGAGTGTCCCGATTCGCTGTAGTCGTGATGGTGGTCATGATGGTCATCTCCATCGTGATGAAGGGTGACACTGTTGAACTCCTCAAATGGATCGGCTACCTCGCCCATGGGGGTAGCAAGGCCAGAGTCAAGGGGCACACCCTTGGATTTGGCAGCACCGATGTCCACACTCTGGGATTCCTTGACATTTCGGAAATTAGGCGTTTCTATGCCTTGGCCCTGGTGGGGAATGATAGGAGGCTTCATGTGACGCAGTAACGCCCATTGCGTGGTCTTGAAGAATGGCGCACTCTTGATATCCGAGGCACCGGCGCGTGAACCGAGGCGGCGAGTCTCATCCTTGATGAGCAGCTTGCGAATAATGGCTTTGCAAAGACTACACAATGTTAGTAGAGGAAGCAAACAAATGTCTGTAGATAAACTTACTTTGACACTTGCGGTGCGCCAGAACCCTCTGGGAAGGGCACCTCGTCTCGAAGAATGTTGGCAAAAGTGGCGTTACGGTTCTTGCCCTTGAAGGGTGTAGTTCCGTACAACATTTCGTAAATCAAAATTCCAAGGGTCCACCAGTCAACCGCACTCGTATGTCCACAGCCCTTGATAACTTCTGGTGCAATGTATTCCTCAGTACCAACGAATGAATTGGTTCGGAAATTGTTGATGCAAGATTTGGTGTCAATCGTTGGCAGATTATTCGACGAAGTACCGCTTCGGCCACTAAGAATCATGGTTGGGCGACCGCCAGTGTCCGATTGTTTCGACAAGTCAAAGTCTGACAACATGATATGGCCGGACTGATGGAGGAGGATATCTAGGGGAAATTAGCACCGTCTTTCTTGAAGGGAGGCAAAATTGATCCTACTTTCTGGCTTCAAGTCTCGGTAGATGAAGCCCATCAGGTGCAGGTATTCCAATGCGGCCGTAACCTCGGCAGCGTAGAATCGCGCAGCGTCCTCGTCAACGCACTTGTTTGGTCGTGTCTGCAGAGCGCGGAAGAACTCACCGCCACTGCAGTATTCCATGCAGAGGTAGAGGTGGTCTTCGGATTGGAAAGAGTGGTATAGAGTAACGATAAATGGGTGGTTGCTGGTCGCCAGAATTTCTTGCTCAGCCAGCGCACGCTTGATCTTGTTTCGCTTGATCATCTCCTTCTTGCTCAGCACTAAAGATTGTTAGCATAGATTCCAGAAACAGAAAATGTGTGCCGTACCCTTCATAGCGTAGAGCCTGCTAGATTTCTTCTCCCGCACCAAGTAGACCTTTCCAACATCACCCTTGCCAATCAGCTTGATCTTGTCGAAGCTGCCCGGGCCGACCTCAACGTTCCTAACCTTGATAGAATTCGAGCTGTAGGTCCTCCTGAAAGCTACAGAATTGCGAATCTGGCCTGGAGACGGTATAGGCTTGCTGGCGTCGCTGGGTAGGAGGTGGGTCGAGTCTTGCGAATGCGTTTCAACCATGCTTAGGGTGGATGAGTTCGGGTGGTGCAGGACGGGCTGCTTGCCGAGTTCAGCGGTCTGTGGCCTTTCATTAGACTTGCCAGATGAGAACAAGCCCTGAGCGTTGGGAGCAGAAGCTACCCTCCGTAGTTTCCTTGCCAATTCCTCCTTTCCAGCCGTCGTGGCATGATCATCCTCGGGGCCGTTGCCACCGTTCACTTGTGTCTTGGGTATGTTTTGTGAATCCGTGGGAGATGGGGGCACGCTGCCGTCGTTGTGATGGCGCAGGGCAGGGGGTCCTTGGTGGGCGAAATACGGGTTGGCGTGGGCAGTGGGCGAGAGGCCATCGTCGAGCGGATTGCCTTCGCTGGCGACGGTCTGAGAGCGGTTGCGAGTGATGTGCGGGATGAATCGCGACTGGCGAAAGCCCGACTTCTCGTTCTTGGAATTTGGGGCACCGCCCGTGGCATCGTCGGAGAGCTTCTGGGCGTCGTTGCTGCTGTTGATCCGGAAGAAGTTCTTGATGCGCTGCGAGACCTGACCGTCCTTTCCATTGACCGACTTGTTGGTGGACAGGGCCTTGCCCGAAAAGGTGCGTTTCTCGGTCATGGTGGAGTGGCTTGATGGAGACGAGTTGAAAAGCTGCGTCATAGCCGTGGGAGAAGAGGAGGGATGGAAGATGCGCAGCGGGCGAGTGGTACGCCTAGCGGATGGCAGCTAGTGAGGCGGAGAGGGGGACTCAGGGAGTACTATTCGGTTGCGCGTTTAACGGTCAGTGGGCCATGGCACGGCGGGATAGGTCAAGGTGCCGGGATCGTGGTGCGTGTGGCTGGAGCGTCGAACGGGAGTTGGCAAAGAAGGACGCCGCTGGCAGTGGGGCGCAAGGGGCTGGCCAGGCAATCCAGCAGCGAAGACAATTGACTACTCTACCACGCGGGAGCAGCGGGCGAAGAAGAGGAGGAGGAGGAGTAGGAGGAGGGAGAGGTGGAGGTAGAGGCGGAAGCGGAGGAGGGCAGGGTACAGCAGGACAGGGCAGGGCAGGGAAGGGCAGGCAGGGCTACTTAGAGTATGGGCGGGTTGGGAAGCCAGAGCCGTGCCGGATAGACGCAGAGGCGAGGGCGGCGAATCAAGGGCGCGAGGGCTCAGGCCAGTGGGGACTGTCGACTACTAAGAAAGTACCGCGCGGCCACTGTGTATTTCCAAGCATTCCCCCCAATCGTCCGTTCATGCCTCCAGCACCGCCATTTATCAGCAATGCTATCCGTGCAATTCCCTCGCGCACGTCATCGCATCACGTCCACCCACTGCCACCACTGCCGCCGCCTGCCCGTCCTTGTCATCACCCTAAACAAGACGTCTGACGTTGCCTCCCACATCCATGAACGCATCCGACCACTCTTCCTCTACCGCGTCCAGCGCCAATCCGTTCCAGACCCTCTCCTTTGGGCCTAGTCCATCGTTCGGCCCCGGCCCTCCACCGTACAGTATTACATCGGCCGTGCATGGCATATTAGTCCCATCTCCTTCCCTTGCGCCTGACTTCACCTGAACACAGCCCCTTCATCCACCCTTGACCGTAATCAAGTCATTACATTACATTAGTATCCTGCTTGCCTGTGGTGGCTGACTATGCTGCCTACTTAATCATACAATGTCTGCCCTCCTATACAACCTAACTACTAAAGGTCGGAGCCACAAGAAGACATGCAATTACTCTCCTTCCCACTTCCTCCTTGCCATCTGCCATCCAGTCCTCCTTGTTGGATACCCCCGAGAAAAAGAAAAACTGCCAAGTAGAGCCGCAATGCAAACTGCACTACCTGGCTGTCGAATAAACATTATCCACCCTGTACTCATACGCCACTGACCAAGTATTGCCAGAGTCAGACAACATGGCATCCAGCCTATCCAGTCACACTCGACAAAGAGCCCAAATTCGACGACCCTTCAAGTGCGCGAGTTCCTACGATACGCCTCAATCTCCTCCATCTCCGTCTTCTTGAGCTGCTGGAAGCGCTGGCGCCACTTCTCCGAACGCTTCGTCCTCTCCTCAGGCGACATGGTGCGAACGTCGTCTTTCTTGCCACGGCGGAACTTGTTCGTCACCTGCTCTAGCTTCGCCTTTGCCGGTGAATGCTCTCCGGCCTTCTTGGGTGATCCGGGAGTGTTGGTACGCGACGATGTCACAGTCTCGCGCTCCGTGTCAGTCGTCTTGGTGGGCGAAGACGCGGCCTTCTGCTTGCCTTTGCCGCTCGACGACTTGAAACAAGATGCATCGCTCTCCTCGTACTCCGTGGTGTTGGCTGTCTCGGCAGGTCGCTTCTCCCGCGCCATAGACGTGCCACAGTCGTTGATATGCGTATCGTTGATCATCTCCGCAAGGTCATCCATAGCCCCATCCAGTCCTGTTAACCCAATGTTAGTAGAAGCCTTGCCAGAAGGCGCGCCATACCTACCAAGCTCTTGAGAGCCCTGTTCCTTGGCCGTAGTGTAGTAGCGTTGCATGGTCAACGGTGTGCCCAAGTTGTGATTCTGCACCTGGATACCCAAGAACTGCTGTGGCGTTCCACCATTCGACCGTCCAATACCTCTGTTCCGAATCTCCTTGCTCGCATCGTTCTGAGTGTTTGAAGCCATAGCTTGCCCATGTCCAGATACCATCTTCAGTGGGAAAAGACTAGGAGGTGCGAGGTAACGCGCACCTGAGACGATACGCTG